ATGGAAGACAGTCAGGCTCCATCCTGGGAGTTGACTGGACAGGTTTGTGAGAGGCCGAGAGAGAAGCAAGGTAAGGCTGCAGGGGTATTACAGACCTTCTTCACCCAGACGCTCTTCACTCAGACCCCAGGATCAAAAAATATCAAGGGACAGCTTTGCTGGCCTTTGCTTATCAAGACAGTGGGTTGAAAGCTACATTTCCCCTGTACTGGGTTGGGTCTTCCCAGTGCCCTCCGCTGTAGCAGAGGCCCCTTGTTCAGAGAACCCCCTGGCCCAGCCTGGCGCCGGAGCCTCATCCGGTCGGGCCTCTTTCCCGGGCCCCTTTGCATATTTCCTCTGCCTGAAGCAGGGGGGAAATTTTAGGAACAAAAGTTAGCTTATGTTTTGGCAAATCCCCCTCCTTCCACCAGCACTTCTAGTTATTCCTTTACTGGGCACAGAGCCAACAGCCTTAAGAGGGCTGGGGTCAGAAAGGGTAGCAATCTCACCCAGCCCCAACCCTCTGCCCCAGCCCCTCACTACATCAGACAATACTGAATTACTGAGCAGCCTGGGTTCGCCAGTAGCTGGGATATCAGGCCCTTCTCCTAGGGGGAAGCCCTCAGGACCTACCTGAACCCACAGCCCAGCTCAAGGGCCCTTGGCCACTCAGTGGAGAAGGAGCCCATTGAAGTTTAGGAGTGAAAGGACTTTTTTTTTTTTAAACCTACCTCTGGAGGTCCTATCCCACTAGGGGGCCCTAGGAAGGGCACCAAAGACCAGTAAACGGAGATTACAAGAGATTATGATGTTTCCTTTCAGAATGGGGCCTATTAAACCCTCTTCAAGGACCTGAAACTTCCTGGTAAGGTGGAGCCCTGTTCCTAAAAGTTACAAAGACTTCAAGGACCTCCTGTGTCTCTGTTGAAACCAAGCTTTTGTGTAGTTGGGGAGACTTTTTCTGTCTGGAAGGTTCTGAATGTAGAAAGGAGCCCAAGATGTTAAGGCAGAAAGCTGGAAGACCTAACTGGCATCCTTGGTTCTGCAGAACAGCTCAACCACTGCCATTAAGGTGCCTTTGGAGAGCTGAGGGCTCCCCACTCCCCCTATACCCTCTAAACATACACTAAAAGCATCCAGAAGTGGGAAGATGTCCCAGAATTCCCCAGATTTCTTCTCTGGGGAACATTCTTGCTGCTCTTGGATGAAGGAACTCAAACATTTTCACCATTTTGCAAGAGTTACACATCAGTCCTAAGATCCCCCACCCCACTCCTCCAGCTAAGCGAGGAGCAGTAACTGCCGTGAATCTGGTGGTTTAATGTCGTTGTGTTCAGAAACCCAGGCCCAACAACATGAAACTACCTAATTCACTCAGCAGTCTCAATTCAAGCTCCAGGTCAAGGGCTCACTGGGGCAGGCCCCTGTGGCCATCCTGTGGGCCAAAATGGCCACTTAACTTACTTTCTTCTACTTATTTTCCTCCATTTCTTCTCACAGAATCCAGTTGCTAGTAAGCAATGTATCTAAGGTACTGGATCCAGAATTCCAGATGAAAGGGTCCTGAAGCTGGTCCTGGCAGCTCAGATTCCAGGAACTTCTCTCTTCCAGGAGCGCCGGCCAGAGAAGACACTGGGCCAAGCTCTAGGCCTAGGCATGGCCCTTTGATATACCTGCTTGGTGTCTGCTTCCTCAGCCTGTCTCTGCAGTTGCAAGTCTCCACAGATGAAAAGGATTCTCAACTTCAAACCGTTATGAAGGTGTGTCTACACTCACCATCTGGCTAGACCCTATATTCCAGGGTCACCCAGCCTCCCAGGACAGCTCTGAGGACCCAAATCTTCTACAACCACCCTCAGTTTTGAGACTGGGGTGTGCACAGACAGGAGAAGGGGCCAAGAAGAGCAAGAAAGAAAGTGACAGGGACAAAGTGCAAGAAAGAAAGTGACGGTTTACCGAGCATCAGTATCAAGAATTCTAGATAGCAACAGAGGAAGAATGTGATTTGGAGGGAGCAGCCAACTGACAGGAATAATCTCTATGAAGTCACCCTGCTGAAATGGTCCAAGGCCCAGGCTCCAGAGAGGCTGAGCTGCCCCAGGTAAGAATTCATTTCGCCTTTACAATGGAACCGGGAGGCTATGGACCTGGATTGGCACGCAGAAAACAAATTTGCTTCTTCCTCCCTGACCTTCTGTCTGGGTCCTTCACCCCCGCCCCGACGTCCCCCACTGCCCAGCCCTACCTCCCCAGACATTCGTGTACTCACAGGTGCTCACACCCGCGCTGCACTCATCCCACAACCACCCGCGGCCTCTCCCAGCGGGCTTACCTGGGCTGCGGCGGCCGCGGGGCTGGGTGGAAGCATCCAAGCATCCGTCGGGAGGTACTGTCCCCGTCTAGATGAGGACTGGTTCCCTCCCGGCCTCAACCCGGAGGCCAGTGTCCGAGTGGCCACGTGTCCGGCGAGGAAGCCCGAGGCAACGCAGGAGTCTGCCCGGCGGCCGGCTCCCCCTCCTGGGTATAAATCTTGGGGACCGGAAATACAATAAAACTTCACCGTGTTGATGAACTTCAAACGGTTTACATCCCTTCCTGCCCTGAAAAGAAAGACGGCCGGGGGCGGGTTAAAAGGAAGGGGAAACAAATTTACGAGCTGAAGAAGTACCCTCCTCGTCTTCTTTCTTTTGCTTGCACAGACTTTGTCCGCGTGGAGAGAAGCAGCCTTGGTCCCGAGCCTTTGCCTCAGCCACGATGCCCGCCAGGCATGCTTTTCTCCTCTCCCGGGAGCGCGGCGCGCTGACCCGACCATCGCGAGGCCCGAACGCCTCACCGCCAGGACTGTCAGCCACCGCCTAGAGAATACACGGAACCCGGAGCACTGTCAAGGGCTGCTGGGATGCTGCTCCCAGTCTCTCTCCAAGGCTCTTAGAGGCGCTTCTTGCTAAAGCCCCGACTCTCCCAGTTTTGCCCCGTGGCCTCCATTCTTTGCATCTTTCCGCTGAATCCGGGTTTTTTTTTTTTTTCTTTTTTTTTTTTTGGTGTGTGTGTGTTTTTGGTTTTTTTTTTTTTTTTTTCCATCTCTCTAGCGGCCAAACCTTTGCCCTGTCCCGCCCGTTTATTATTGCCAGGTGCTTGCAAGACCAGAGATAAGATTCAGCAAAACTCTCAAGACTCAAAGGGGGCTGAGGGGACCAGAGGTTCTTTAGGAGAAGCCCAAGGGACCGGTCGACAAAGTGGAAGTGACAGCCAGAGAGGAGTGGTGTTCAAATCTGCCTCAACCATGCACTTCTGTCTGGGTCTTTAAAAGCTTCAAGTCAAACAAAAACAACCACTACCCAAGTTTCAACTCTCCTCCGTATAGTTCTTTTCTGCTCTGAACCCGTTTGCTTTTTCCAAAACTTTGAAATCCGGATTTGCTACCAGGCTACTGTGAACCTAAACTAAGGAAAATCTCTTTTCCTCTTTGAGCTCCAGGTAACTGGGAGCAAAGATACTGACTTCCTGCTCCCTTTGTCTGGGGCATCTGTGAAGTGCTTTTTTTTGGGGGGTGAGAGAAGTTATTCTCTCCAACTGCCCCTAAACACCAAGGCTTCAGATCTTAGACATACTGGAGGGCTGAGATTAGCTCAGGTTTTGCTCAGGTACAGGGTGGAGACACAGCTGCAGGCCCAGGAGGGGTACCCCATCCCCCAAACACACAGGTGCAGCCTAAACCAGCCAACTCCATTCCTCTCCCCAAGAATAGGTGCCAAAGCATTGCTGGAGATTTTTTTTTTTTTAATGAAAAAGAAAATGGAATGGACTCAGAAAATAATCAGGCTGTCTTCTATCATTTAAAAAAATTTTTTTTTTTCTGACAGGCTAACTGTTGCAGGCAGTCCCACTCTGCCCTGACCTGACCGGGGTTAAAAGTGACATAATGGTGATGATGGGGTGCCCTCTGGCCCCTTCCTGGCACCAAAAGGGAGGAAGGAAGGGGGAGCTGTTTAACAGCTGGAAGACAGGAAGAATCTTATTTCTATCCAACATTCACATTTCGGGATTTGCTTGGGGAGGCCCCCTCCAGTTCCTCTCCTCATTATGTGCCCCAATTCTCTAATTTTGCTCTTTATCACGCTATATTTTTATTTAAAATACTGTGATGGCACCTACTGGCTTTCACCCCTTCTATTAGAATTTGCCTCTGAGAACCATAGAGAAGGGCTGAGGGCATAAATGAGGGACCAGCAGTTTCTAAGCTATTTTAGGACTGCTATTTTTCTGTCCCCTTCCAGAGACCTGCCACCAGGGTAGGTCAGTGTGCTGGCTCCCAGCCAATTTCTGGCCAGATCTCTGTAGCTATCTGGATGAGGAAACAGGTTCTTTAGAAAACCTGAAGAGGCTACAGCCTTAGAACAACACACCTGTGCACAGGCATGTTTTGCATTCACTTTCAGGGGCTTTGCAGCTTCCTCCACTCTCCCCCCAGATGCCAGGCCACTGATCTCAGTTTAAAAAATAAAACTCTACCAAAGGACACCTCACACCCATTCTGCAGATTCCTTCCAAGGTCACCTTGCCTGAAAGAAACAAGTCATCTTTCAAATGCTCAGTACAGACTCCCATGGTCACATGGACAGAGATACCCTCCTAAACACCGCTTAGACCCCTGGCTGAGCTGGTGGTTACTGAGTAGAGACCTTTTAGGTAGTTTTTGTTTGGTTTGGTTTGGTTTGGATGGTGCTGGGGGGGGGGGGCGGCTTATGCATGCAAGGCAAGCACTCTACCAACTGAGCTATATCCCCAGCCCTATGTAGTTCTTTTTACACTCCGAAATATTTTCCAAATACTTTTCCAAAAAGCAGGTCAGTCTCAAAAATTGATGGCCAAGCTGGTTCAGGGACAACTTCCCCTTTCCCTTTTCTTCCTAGAAGGTAAAGCAGGGTATTAGCATTAAGGGGAGGGGCTGGATAATTTGGGTGGTGAGAGATAAAGTGTAGAAACAAATGCAGAACAGAAGACCCTTAAAGAAAAAAAAATTGAGACCCTCTTCCATTTAGTGAGAGTCACAAGAATAAGTATTTCTGAGAATTTCTGGCTCCTCTCCCTTCCTGAGGTTTATTATGGGGAGGAGGGGAGGTAGTTTCAGAGAACCGTAGCCCAGTCCCTGATCCAAGCTAAAATTTGTTTTCTTTTGTTTTTGCCATTTCTGGCGGCGGCTTGGGAAGCAGCTCTGTTGTGGCGGGCGAGTGAGGCTGAGGCCGCGACCGACCTCTAGGCGGCGCCCTGGCGTTGAGTCCTCCAGGCACAAATCCTCCGGCAGCTCTGTGTTCGGTGCTGGGTGAAAGGGCCGGTTTCTGCCGACGCACTGGGCTTGGCCTGGAGTTGGCCGCCGGCGCGTCGCCTTTGGCGCCCTCTGCCAAGCAAGAGAAACAAGATTAAAAGAGTGCGGGCTGGAAAAGGAATCACAACTAATCAAGGACCCACCGGCCCCTACCCACCCCCCCCCACCCAGCCCCATCCCCGACGCTAGGGAGCCTTCCAGACCCCGAATCTTCTTTGATCTCCCCAGCAGCCGGCTGCAGGGCAGCGCCAGCGACTTTAACTCCCTCCCTCAACTTGCAGAAGACGACACTGGGGTTCGAAGAAATTAAGTGTTTAGCCCAAGATCAGAGCAGCTTTTAATAAAGTGGTGAAGCAGAGGATGTGACTTCCACTTCGAATGGAATTTTCTTCCTCCAAATTATGACAACCAGCCACCCCAACAAACTTGTTTTTCTGATAATTCATTTCTGGAAAGACAGCCTTTGGGGGTTGTCTTTGTTGGAAGTGTGGGGGCTTGGGGGGCATATTGTGGGCACTGCATAAGAAAAGTGGAGGCCGATACAGGGGCAGCTCAGCCAGGACTCGGAACCATGACAAATCCAGTCCCCTCCCTTCCAGGAAATGGCCAGTTTATAACTTTCCTAACTGTGTGATACTGGATGAGTGTTTTCAGCCTTTCAAAGGCCCTAATGAAAAAGACCTATTGGACAGGGATATTGTGAGCTTTGAATAAGAGGTCCTGATAATTAAAATAAAATGTTGGCTATAGGACTGCTTCATAAACTCAAAAAAACAGGGACAATTAGGGTTGGTGGCAGGTCACTATTCTTCTTGGCCTAAATGAGACCTCTGTTAAGTCCTAGGTGGAGCAAAACATGAGAGCCCTTCCCTGGGACTCAACAACTCTGGGTCTGTGCTCAGAGTCATCCAGGACCTGGGAAACACTGCATGGGAGAAATCAAGGTCCCCTGGATCCCTTCACCCAAGGCACAGGCGCCATTTTACATGGCGGAGCCCTAAAGCTCTCTGCTTAAATTATTCCTAGGGGAGAGGATCCAGAGAATCCCCAGTAGGGGAGGAAAAGGAGAGAGGCCCAGCGGGACGCTGGGGCGGGGCAGCAAAGAGCATGTCTACTATAGGCCAACTACAGCGATGGGCTTGCCGGGGTCTTCAGTCCCAGGAGATGCTCCCTTCCCAGCCGGGCAGCAGTTCTCATGGACGCCTAATTACTGCGTGCACATCTGGAGCAGCTGTGCCCCACCCGGCCTTGGGCCCATTATTTCCCTCCAAACCCTATTTTCATTCCCAAGGCTGAGTCATAAAAGACTCTGGAGGCAGAATAAAGTCGGGTCTGTGTGTGTCAGCATTCCTGTGTGTGCGTGTGCGCGCGACCGCGCGGCGTCTGTGCGTCTCACTGTGATTGCCCAATGGATTCGCAAAAGTTGGGAGGAAAATGGAGTAACATCAGGCGAATTCAACTGCGAACATACTGTCAGCCTCATTATCCGCCCATTTCAAGGGAAAGCATTTGGGTCTAGGAATTAGCCAGTTAATTGCCTCACTTCTTTGTTCACTTTAGGGCAGGAGAAACTATTTGCCTTCTATTAAAACATTCTATATTTCAAAACTTTTTAAGATCTTCTCATTCTCCATTTTATTTCCATCTCGTTATACCCTTGAACATTTAGATCTGCCAGTATCACATCAACCTTACCGAACACACACACACACACACACCCGGGTGACTGGAAAACTGTTTCTGTGCCTGAAAAATCTGGATATCTTAACTCTTAAGTCTTTTTGTAATGATTGATTAGTGTCCTGTGTGCCTAGGATCTAGTACAATTCCTGGTGCACAGAGAGCATTTAGTAAATGGTAGCTATTGAGGAGGAGGAGGAGGAGGAGGAAGAGGAAGAGGAGGAGGAGGAGGAGGAGGAAGAGGAGGAGGAGGAGGAGGAGGAGGCGGCGGCGGCAGCGGCAGAAGGGGGAGGAGGAGGAAGCCTGCTTTGTTCTCAGAGAACCAGTCTAGGTTGGAGGGTGTGAGTCTCAGCCTGCATGTGTATAGTGTATTCTTTTGACTTAGAGCAATGTCTATAAAAGTGAGGCCCCTTGAACCCCTTGGCCTGTAACTACCTCTTCAATAAGGAACAGAGAATTGGGGCAATTATCTGGCTCATTTCAGGTTCAAACTCCTTTTAGCTTGAAGAATCTGGGTCTCATGGGGAAAAGTCTGGGAAGCCAGCCACAGCATATATTCAATTGACTTCTAGGTGAGCCCTTTCCCTTTGCTGGAGTGAGCAGGATAGGATCCTGCCTTAGAAAATGGATAAAAAATAAAAATAAAAACAGGGGTAAGGGGACTGGAATTAAAGAGAACAAATGAGAAATGCTTGAGATAAATCAGGTCTTATCCACTTCCTGGGGCAGTCAGGAGGTCTTGGGGCTCTCCATGCTCCCACCCAGAAAATCTTCAAACCAGTCAGGATTTTACCTGACGGGGACTTTCATTCCATATTCAGTGAACATTTATTGAGCACCTACTGTGTGCCCAGCATTGGGCTGAGATGTGCAGCTCCAGTGGGAGCCACACCCCACCAATCAGCAGTGCTGACTTGGCAGACATTGAGAGGTCTAGCTCCCAGAAATAAGCCCAGGGACAGGAGAAGAGGGGAAACCCTGCTGAGCAAGAACTTTTGGCCAATGGAAAGCAGCTTTTCAGGGCCAAAGTCCTGGTGCAGGGGTGGAGCCCAAGGGTCAGGGGAGCCCCCCACATTGTCTGTCAGAAAGAGGCCAACTCCACAGTGGAGACAGCCCTGTGGGAGTAAGGGTGGGGTGTAGGGGAGCAAGGAGGGGTGGAAAGATGACTAGAGGCTCCTGACCCTCAGTTGGAAGTTCCTGAAAACATTAATTAGCTTTCTTTAATTAGTAAAGTAGAGAGCAAATGGGCATATATTCCTTCTGCTCTGATTAAAAGCATTTAGGTCAGGTTTTCACAGCCAGGATTATTCAGTTTAAGCTGCCCCAAGCAGAAAATTGTTTATTTTTTTCTCTTTATCTTCAGGCAGGGGTTTGAATACTATTGGCTTCTTGTCACAGACCAGGGCTATAGGTGGGCTGGTAGGTGGTCTTTGTGCCAGTTCAAAGAGGGGCAATCGGAAATGGTTGGAGCCTTATCTGCTCCAAGTCACCTTTATTCAAAATGTGTAGGTAATTGAGGAACAGCCAGGAGAGCCGGGGCATGGTGTGTATATGTGTGTGCAGGGGAAGGTAAAATTGACCAGATAATTCTGGTTTCCTTAATATGTCTGAACATAGTCCTAGAAAAAAATTTGTTTACTTCCCAGACTCCAAAAAAGCCTAGCTTTTCTTCTGGAAGATCTGGCTTGGTCAACTCATATCATTTTACTAGGCTAGGCAAGAAAAGCTAACTCAACTTCTATATGGAAATAAACTACAACACTTGAAGCTGGGTAAAACTGGGAGATCTCCAGGACTGTCAGAGATTACATACTGTTTGGCTGTTATAAATATACTGTTTGGCTGTTTATAAAGATTATAAAAGTATTTAGGAGCAAATCCTCCCCCTTCCAGCACAGAGTTTTATATTCCCCAGCCTCAAACCTTGGTTTAATTCCTCAGTTCCCATGCCTAGTTGGAATACCTGAGGAAACTGAACAGATAGATCAATAAGGGACACAAAAGAACATTCTATTGCCTCATCTGATCCCCATTTTGCTTTCTTGGCTCAGAACATTAGCTATGGGGTTGTCTCTGGATACCCGTCTCTCTCCAGTAGAGTCCCAATAGAGTTTTTAGCAGCTGGGAGGCTGCCCAAACCTGGTCCCACCCATAGCCAGTCCAAGATCAACTTTCCCCAGTAAAACTCTTCCTACTGTCACCAGCTCCCTGGTGTCTGGAAAGAAACACTGACCGCCCCCCCCCCCAAGTCTGGACCTTACTGGCAATAGTGGGTATCATTGCCACCTGAATGTTTTGAAAGGTGAAGGTTGGCCTGGAGAACACAGAGGCAACAGTCAAAGGGAAAAAGTGACACTGTGGCATTTTCTGAACACCAGCTCCTTTGATCATTCCAAATAGGAATTCTTAACTTAGGCTCTGAGGAGACTAAAACCCTCTGAAATGGTGGGTTTGGCAAGTATAATAAAGTGCATCTTTCCCCTGGATAGATCAGCATTTTTCATCAAATTTCAAAATATCAGTGGGTGATATTTAAAATGATAAGAACTTCTCATCAACCATTCACATATAAGCACTCAAAAATGTGAATCAGAGGGAGGAGAGTGAACTGGACTTGGTGCCTAAAAAGACAAATTAAAAGACAGGACAATCATGTGCACAAAGGTCAGGTAGATACTGTCACCTGGTCTTGCCTGAAATATCAGGCATCTGATCAAATATGCTGAAATCTCTAGGACTAAGGCAAGGCAGCCCACAATATCCAATGCCCACTTCATGCACAGTTGCTTCATGGAGAAGGAGTATGTAAGCTGTGTCTCTAATCAAAATGATACAGAATTTGCTCCACTAGGGCCTGTACCTTCTCCTACAATGTGCTGCCGTGTCTTAAGCTGGTCCATACTGAATGTTTCAGGAAACATTTCCCTCCTCAAAAAGGCCCTCCCCTTCAAGAGGAAATATTTTTTCCGGTGTCCAGCTACCACAGTTACAGCCAAGTCTAAGGAGCTCACTCTGGACTAAGGAGCAGAGACCGCCAGTGGGGCCGCCTCCTGTAAACTTTGAGTTCTTTTGGCCCTCCCCTCGTTGGGGCCTGAAAAGGGCACAAGAGACAGCTGGTAGATAGAAGTAGGTAGATAGAAGTAGGTACAAAGAAAGTGATCCTCGACGACCGGCAGAGAAAAGATGGAGAAATACAAAGAGAAATTAAATAGCTGGTCAGGAAGAGAGAGCTGGAGCGCTATGAGCAGGTGGAGCAGTCAAAACCCGGGTGCTGAGAAGGGCTCAGAGGGGCGGCAGAGGCGGCCAGGCGCGCCTCTGTTTCCCATCCTTACCGGGAGGTTAAAGACACCTCCTCAGCGCCCCCTCGTTCCAAACCGCCCCATTACAACTTCTCGGGCTCCTTAATGTTCTGATTAATTGGCTGGCTCGGGGATAAAGGTACCCCTCTGCCAGGGACCTGGGGGTTAGATCGTTTGTTAATGATGAGGAGGAAGGTAGAATCCGGAGAGGAAAAAAACACACAACTGGAGAATGGGGCGAGCGACGCTGGCGCCGGCGGCCTGGAGAGAGCAAGTGAACTGTTCTTTGGGGGCAGCAGATATATTTTGGAGCGCTGAGATCCAGGCACTAGGACCCACTCCCCTCTGGGCAGATGATCGTGAAGATCTTGCTCACTCGTTACAGGCGAGGGAGTCCCGCGTGACGCTCCGCCCTAGGGTTAAGTCGGATCTCTCTCTATTGCTCTGTCCGCGCGGTCAAGATCCCGCTTGGGGCGAGGCGCTAGGTCGCGTTTATAGGCTCTCCTTGAGCTGATGTCTGGACTGAGCCTTCCGATCCCAGTTCATTTCCTCCCATCCCATACAGTAGAAGTTGTGGGTCTTTCAGGCTTTTGGCTTTGTGGGACTTGAGGGCGCATCTGTGTTAACTGCGATCTCCCTTTGCCCCTTAGGTGCTGCTTTGCGACCAAGGCCGGATTTGAAAACCTCTTTTCTAATCCTTCTGTTAGGCATCCTCCCCTAAATTCTGGGACTCAAGGCCTCCAGATTCCGCCGCTGCGGCAACTGCGTTATGGAGGCCTGGGCCGGAGGAGCACAGAATTCCAGAGAGCCCCTGACCCTTCTCCTGCTCCAACACTGCAGCTTCTGCACCTCCCTGTCCTTTGCAGTCATGATGCCCACAGTAGAGATGCAGTCTGAAAGGGGGCCAGCGGCTTGCACAGAGATCACTCTGTGCCCAGCCCAGCCAGAGGCGAAGGTACAGAGCCCCAGAGGGAAGCACTGCGGGTGCGCGCCGTCGGGGTGCGCCATGGAAGCCTGCGCAGGGGAATCTAGACTAAGGACTTGCGTTGGTTCTGCGCAGTACCAAGCTGTTCCGAAGACTGCTGTGGAGGGGTGCAGAGGTCTCCAATACCTCATTAAGACTTCCGACTTCCCCGACTACTCTACCTGGACTACTCTACCTGCGTGAGACCTGGTCCCACAGCAGTGACGCTGTCAGGAACAGCAAAGCAGGGGCCTCTTAGCTCTCAGGGGAAGACCAGCAGGGAGAAGGTTGCTGCAGGACCTATGTTTCCTCTGGTTCACCTCGGAGTCGTATTGAAAAAGAGGTAAGAGTTTTAACGAGTAGAAATTTGGGCCCGCTCCCTTTTATTGTTTTTAAGGAGTGAGGTATCTGGCCATTGATTTCTCTCTCCATAGGGAAGTTTTCTGCGTTCTGGCCTTGCTGGTCTGCACCTCAGCGCCCTCCCTGAGGACCATTCAAGGGTAACTTTTCTGGGTGGGTGAGGCTTGCCATTTCATGGATTTTTGTTGTTTGTTCGTTTTGTGATGCTGGGAATGAACCCAGGGCCTCCTGCAGTATGGACAACTGAGCTATACCCCTAGCCTCTCCTGGTCATGTTTTGTCATTATTATTACTAATATCCAGATTATTGTGAATTAAGGTCCCCTCCTCCACTCTGGCTGAGATTCTACCTTAAACAGTAGTCTAGAAATACTTCAAAAGAGAAGGGTGGTAAGTTCAAAGCCAGTCTCAGCAATGGCCAAGGCTCTAAGCAACTCAGTGAGACCCGGTCTCTAAATAAAATACAGAGAGAGAGAGAGAGAGAGAGAGAGAGAGAGAGAGAGAGAGAGAGAGAGAGAGAGAGAGAGAGAGAGGGAGAGGGGTGAGAATGGAAGAGACTCAGAGGGCCCCAAGATGGATGACCAGCTAGTGGGGATGCTTTGGCATTAATTATCCCTGCAAGGTAAAGGCTGTTCTCATAGCCTGTGGAGAGGTAAGGATGGAAAATAGGATCAGGGTGGCAACTTGGTATCTTCCCAAGAAAGAAGGCATTGTATTTCAGATCCAACTTTTAGGCTCTGGGTATTTTTTCCCTTTGATTTACAGTCAAAGGTAGGGAGGGACACATTGCCACCTGGGTGTTTTTAAGCTAAAGGTTGACCTGGTTAGGATGAAGATATCAACTGAAGAGGGGAAAAGGGAAGATCTACACTCTACTGACCATATTTGGTTTTACTCTCTTCCAGGCACATATTTCTCTGATCAATCCTAATAGATCTTAACCTAAGGTTTAAGGAATCTGAGTCCCTCTGAAATTGTGTGATTTCACAATTCTACCAAAAAAAAAAAAAAAAAAGAGCTAGATGTCACTTTCTGAGAAGCCCTGGGGAGGGGGTGTGAGCAAAATCGGGCATGGGGAAAGGAGGTTAGCCCTGCTGTCTAACTCCATTGAGTTCAGGACCCTCAAACTCTGAAACTCAAGCTGATCCTATCCACATTGCCACACTGATGGATAAAGATTTTCTTTATTGCTTTCAGAATGAGTCTGAGTGCTTAATCAGGGCTTCTGCCCTTTTCTTTAAAATATTCTTTATTTTTGGCCCAGAGTGGATTTGGTGGGGGGGCTTGGAGCAGTTAGATAGGAGAGGGACCTGGGCTTCTAGTATCTGATTTCACCTCTAGCAGTGAAGAGCTCAAGGTTCCCCACCAGCAAGTTCAGAACAAAGCCTGCCTTACATAGTTGCTCAGTTGGTGTCAGGCCTTGCCTCAACCCTCCTTCCCTCTACCCCCAGACTCCTTTCTCTGTGTGCCCAGACCTCCTGACCAAACTACAGACTCCCTCTACTTCTAGCCACCTAAATAACTAGTGATTTTTTTCTTCTCTCATTTTTGAAAACTAAAGAAGCCCCAAACCTTTAGTTCCTCTTGAAGAATAAGATGCTTTTGGATCTTGGAGTGGAAAGAGGTATTGTGGAATTAAATAGCCTGTAAATCTCAGAGAGCAGGCTCCAATATGATAATTTGGTTCCAATCATTGTTTGGGTACTGCCTGAATGGACCAAATATCTCCTCCTTTCCCTTGCCATCCCGTTCCTTCAAGCCCAGAAGTCATGCATTTTCTGACTTCCAGAGTTTGGAGAAAAAGAGAAGACAAAACCTATGAGTAAGAGAGAGATGAGGAAGGTGAAAATGAGAGAGAATTCTAATAGATTAAAATAATGAAACACTCTTTCTAACCCAAAAGCATTTGAAGGCTTATGTTTGTTTTAATAGGAAGAACAAAAGTTGGAGGTGGGCTGAGTAGGAGACAAAGTTCCCATCCCAAAGGACACTCCCTAAGGATGCTTCTTACATGGGTTCATTGCCTTTTGAGGTGATGCAAAGGTAGAACTGACAGCCATTTGTAGTAGTGGGTCTTTCAAATTGTACTGTGGTAGAGCAAGGATCCAAAGAGATCCTCAGAAATCTTCCCACAATACCCTACCTGGGGCTTGTTAAGTTTTTCCTTGCATTTGTTTTTGGGGCAGTGTGTACGTGTGTGTGTGTGTGTGTGTGTGTGTGTGTGTGTTGTGTTAGGGTAGTGGTTCTAAATTATAGCACAGGGCAGGCAGCTCTCCTCCTGGGGAGTCAAGGGCTATCTGGTTAGGAGTGGAGGTTGTTTCATCCCAATTAGGCTGGAGGGGGTAGGGGTGTATCTGGACTTGGATCCAAGCGGACTGGTTCAGACTCTAGGGAAAGGAAGGAGCAGCAGCCCCAAAGTGTGCAGGAAAAGCTTCAGCATCTTTTCCTCAAAGGGTCAGGGAAGTTCACTGAGAAACAGGAACTTTCACTCAGAGAACCCACCTTCTCCATTATGAGTCTTTGTACTTCTATTTATCCTGAGCACAGCCCTATGCAGTACACTGCCAAATTTAGCATGTATGGAGTACCTGAAAGGTACTATGTATTGTCTTACTTTGGAGAGGGGGTGCACGTTTCTTACCTATTACCTTTATTATAGAGCACAACACAATTGGAAGCACACAATTTTGTCTCTTTTGCATGTTTGGGTAAATCGTCAATCTTTTTTTAAAATATGTTTTGGTTGTAGATGGACACAATACCTTTATTTATTTATCTTTATGTGGTGCTGAGGACCGAACCCAGTGCCTCACCCATGCTAGGTGAGTGCTCTACCACAGAGCCACAACCCCAGCCGTGAATCATCAATCTTTACACGATGAGAGGAGTTGCTGTCATATAAGATTCCTCATTGACTCCTGCAGCTAATTCCTCTGAGACCACACAATACTCACAAGATCCACACCTTTCTTCAAAAGGGAATAATTTTTGTATTGACCCAATAGCTGGTTCATAAAGATTGAGACCCTTTTCCTGCCTTCTGCCCACTCCCATAAACAACAGGCCACTCTACAAAAATGCACACACGGTGTTTTTGTGAGTGTGAGTTTCAAGTAAGATGGCGGCGCCTGGCACCCCTAGAGAATCAGATGCACGCTTTCCCGGGCAGGAGGCCACCGGAGGCCCATCGCAGTTCAGAAGAGGAAGGAAACCTAGGTCCCCTTGCCGCCCCCAAAAGTGAAGCAAAAACTTCCCTGAGAATTCTTCCCCTGTTCCAGAGGGCAGCTAGAGAGAGCTGATTTTACACCTCGGGACCTGGGGGCTCATGTCTGGGCCCAGAGTTCCAAACAGAAATTTCTAATTTTTATCCAGAAAACGGCCTTTTTTCCTCTTCAAGCGTCTCCACCCCCCTGGGCCGCTGGACCCTGCCTCTCCCACTACCGCGGTTGGGGGCGGGAAGAACCGGCGCAGAAGGCCTGAGATTGAGCAGCACCGGGCCCTGGGGAGCCAGAGTAGCGGGTAGAGCGAGGAGGGGCGCCCCGCTCGCCCCCACGCACACACCTCCGCTTGGAGTGAGAGAGGAAGGCGTGAGCGAGTGGAGAGGCCAAGGCGTTCTGGGTGGGCGCTCGAGGCCCCACCCAGGAACCTGGTCGGTCTGGAGCTCAAGGTTAGGTTGTGGCCCGGAGTAGCCCACGCTCGCCACGGTCAGTCCTGGAAGCCTGGTCGGGGGCCGCCCAGCCTGGAGAGGGTTTTTTTTTTTTTTTTTTTTAAACACCGCAGCTCTGATCTGCGTGGTTGCGGCCCCCAGCAGCGAAAGCAAGAGCGGGGAGCGGCTCACCTACCTTTCACAACCGCGCCGTCCTCCTGCGTCTTCCCAAGAGGAATCCTGGGCTTCTAGGGACGAAGGTGAGGGCGCTCAGGGCAAGGGGCTAGGTGGCCCCGGGTGGCCGCCCGGACCGCCGCCCCTTTGAGGCCTCTGAGGCCGTGTCTGTGGCGGGGCGGCGCCGACAGCGCTGGGGGCGCGAAGGGACTCAAGCGTCCTGCGTCCCCCTGGCGCCGGCGAGTTTGGGGGAGAGGACTGGGCCGGCGAGGCGGATTGGCACCGGCACCTCCTTCCTTCGCGTCTGCCCGGGCGGGGCTCCAGCCAATCTCACCTGCCCCCGCCTTGGGGCGCCGTCGGATCACCGCGTGGCGGTTACTGGGATGGGCCTTGCGCGTTTGTGAAAGGCCAGAGCAGTGGCGGAAAGGCGCCGCGATGGCTGGGAGGGAGGAGGTTGGAGAGGGTGAGGGTGTGTATGTGTGTGCGTGCGCGTGTGTGGAGAGAGAGAGAGAGAGAAGGGGGGTATATGAATGAATATAACAGACAAGAGAGAAGAAGATCCAGGAAACGCTCCTGGAGAAACCGTCAAATGCAGGAATAGACAAAAGAAGGGCAGAAAGCAGAGGCAGGGGACGGAGGGAAGCCCCTGGCGTCTGAAGCGAGCGACAAGTTGTCCTTGGGAGTTGGAAATGTGAGAGGGAGGGGCGAGGCGGAGGAGCCTGAGAAGGGGAGGGGGCGCCCAGACCCTCAGCGAGAGGCGACACATCCAGGTTTAGGACACAGATGGGTGGGGGGAGAGTAGGGCCCTCCGCCACACCCCTCCTCCGCCCGGTTGCAGCCCATCTTCAGCTCTGCGGCTGGCTTCCCGCCCTTCACCAAGACCCAGCAGCTTCTGTCTGGAGGGCTGCACCAGACAGCAGGCTGCTCCTCTACCTGCCTCCCTTCTTCCCAGGGCGTTAAGTGGGATTCTTCCCTGTTGAAGGAACAAGTGAGCTCAGAAGGAACGACCTTGGCCAAGGTCACAATAAGAGCTTGGAATTTTCACTTTCCATACCAGCCCCTTGGAACTTCTTTGCTATTTGACCTGCGGGTTCTTAGGGTGTCATCCTGAAACTGCAGGTTCCTCTTACTTCTTTCTGAGATCCAACTTACCTACAATCAGTGAACTACAATTTTCCTGGCTATCCCTGTCTGGTTTCCAAGCAGTTGCCCCACTCTCCTGGCCTCATATCCCAGAGTTTCCTGCTCCTCCAGCCGTGGACTGCGGACCCACTCAGTCCAGCCCCTTCCTGAAAACAGTTGTCCAGGAGTCAGCAGGGGTCTGTCTGAAATCTGTGTTTTGTTTTGTTTGGAACAGGGTCTAAGTTACCAAGGGTCTTGCTAAGTTGCTGAGACTGGTCTCAAACTTTCAAACCTCTCGCTTCAGCCACCTGAGTTGCTGGGATTACAGGCCTGCACCTAGTGAGATCTGTGTTCTAGACCTAGTTTTACCGCTAACTTATTGTGGAACTTCAGCCCCTCTCCTCTCTCCTCTTTTGGTCTCAAGTTTTGCCTCCATAAAATGAGAGTAGGTTGAGTGACTTATGTTTTGCTTTTGTAGCCTCCTCCCATTTGCACATGTTGGTCACCTTAAAATACTGAAGGAAACAAAAAACACACACAACATCCAAATGGAAATTTTATTCTATGTGCATAGAAACATAGGAAGAGAAATATGACAAATTAAACTTTGTCTCTGATGGATCTGCTTTTAAATTTTTATTTTCTGTACTTTTGATTTATGGTGCACAGGCAATAAAGGACACTAAAATTAAGTGTGTGGCTCAATGTATTTTGGCATATGTACATAACTATGTAACCACCACCTAGAACAGGATATCTGCCATCTACTGAAAGACTCCTTGTACTCCTTCCCATCAGCAACCTTCTAGTCAATACTTAGCCCCCGAAGTAACAATGATTCTGTCTTCTCACCATGGGTTAGTTTTGCCTACCCTTGAACTTCACATAAACAAAATCAGTGGTTTATATTCTTTTGCATTTATCTTCATCTGCTCGATATTATTGGGGGTGGATGGACAATACATGTTGCTGTGTCCGAAGTTAATTCTATTTTTTGTCATATTCCATAATATGAATATATCACAATGCACTTGCCCATTCAGCTCTTGGTGGATTTTTTTTATTTGTTTTCAGTATAGGGCTATTGTGAAAATCTGCTATGAACATTCCTGAGATGTCTTTTGATAGACACCTGCATTTGGAGACCCTGGAGTGGAAACATCAGGTAGTAAGGTAAGGATATGTTTATCTCTGTTACATACTGAGACTTTTCCAAAGTAGTTGACCAGTTTAACACTCTCAACCAGTAATGTTTGAGAGCAATAGTTGCCCCATATCTAGTCTAACACCTGGAATTATCTTAATCATTTTAGTCACTGTCATGCATTTATAGTGACCTTATCAGTGTGACTTTGTTTGTTTTGGGAGATTTTTGTGCATTTAATAAATTGTAAGCACATACAACAAATTAATCATCTTAACTATTTTTAATTATACAGTTCCATAGTGTTAGGAACATTCACATTGTTTTGCCTCAGATCTCTTGAACTTTTTGCAAAACAGAGATTCTATGTCCATTAAGCAACAGGTTTCCACTGCCCCATTTTTCTAGCTCCTGGGGACCACCATTCTGTTTTCTGTTTCTATGAGTTTGAATACTTTAGATACCTCATATTAGTGGAATCATACAATATTTATCATTTTTGTGACTGCTTTATTTCATTTTACATAATATCTTTAAGATTCGTCTATGATATAGCATGTGACAAGATTTTCTTCTTTTTATAAAGTTAAATAATATTCCACTGAATTTATATACCTCATTTTGTTTTTCTGTTCATCCACAGGTGAGTATTTGGGTTGCCTCCACATGTTGGTTTTTGTGAATAGTGCTGTAATGAGTGAGTATACAAATATCCCTTCAAGATCCTCATTTCAGTTCTGTTGGATATATACCCAGAAGTGGTACTGTTGAATTATATGGTAGTTATATTTTTAATTTTTTAATTTTTTTTTATTTTTCTGGTACTGAGGTCTAGACCTAGGGGTGCTTTACCATTGGGCTACATCCCCAGCCTTTTTTATTTTTCATTTTGAGACAAGGTCCCACTGAATTACTGAGGCTGGCAAGAGTTTGTCGTCCTCCTGCCTTAGCCTCCAGAGTCAACTGGGATTACAGGTGTGTGCCACTGCGCTCAGTGACTGTATTATATTGTATGGAAGCACCACAATTTGTTTATTGATTTGCCAAGTATTGGACACTGAGATAGTTTATAGTTTTGGCCTATTATGCATAAAGCTACCATAAAGATTTACTTTAAGTCTTTGGTATGGACACATGTTTTAATTTCCCTTGGAAAAAACACCAAGCAGTGAATCAGATAGTTGGCATATATTTGACTTATAGCCTGTGGCCTTGTTAATATTTCTTATTACCTCTCCTTGCTTTTTTTTTTAATTCCTTAGGATTTTTTTTTTTTTGGTACCAGGGATGGAATATAGGGGTGCTTGACCACTGAGCCACATCCCCATCCATTTTTTATTTTGAGACAGTTGCTTAGGGCCTCTCTAAGTTGCTGAGGCTGGCTTTGAACTTGTGATCCTCCTGCCTCAGCCTCTTGAGCTGCTAGGATTACAGGCATGTACCATTGCACCTGGCATTCCTATTTGTTTTTATGATTGATTAATTGCAGTATTGAAAACTGAACCCAAGGGCTCTCCACCACTGAATTACATCTCTAGCCTTTTTTATTTCTTGTTTTGAGACACAGTCTCACTAAGTTACCCAGACTATGCTCAAACTTTTGAACCTTCTGCCTCAGCCTCCCAAATTACTAGGATTACAGGCATATGCCACCATGTCCAGCCCCCCTATTTGTCCCTCTTTTTGTCTGTTTTGTTTTTCCTTTTGGATTGAACATTTTTAAATATTTCTCTTATTTCAACTGTTGAAATTGTAAATTTTTTTAATATTTAGTGGTTCCTGTTACCCTAAAAATAAAAACATATTTTTATCAGAGTTCTAGGCCAGAGGTCCAGCTCTGTGGATCCAACAAATTAGGTCCATCCACTTGGACCCACAGAAAAAGTAATGGTGAAAAGCATGAAAGGAATTTTAATCAGTGCAGCTCTATGGGAAGTAAATGGGATCCATGCCTTTAGCTATGTCTTTGAGGGGCTGACAATGACTTGGAAGTTTTAAAGAAGGGGGAATGTGGGCAGGGATTAGGGATTTGCACAGCTGGAGGCTTTTCATAGCTGCCAGTGGAGGTGATCTTGATCAGGTGTGGTCTGTCCATCATTATCCCAGGTCCTAATAAGAAAGTTATTGTTGCATGGCGGGGGTGGAGGGTGGTGGTGGTAAGCTTCAACTCACCGCAAGATGTTTATCAAACCAGACTTTGTTCCTAGTTCCAAGGTGACTAGGAGCAAAGAAAATGAATGCAAAATGGAAGCAGACATGCCAAGTCTTTAATCCTGCTTGTAGTCAGCCATTGCACATTCACAGGCAAAAGTGAAGAGTCTAAGCACTTGCTAGAATATCAGCCAGAGTTCTCTAAAACACAGAATCAATAAGAGATATGTATATATAGAGAGAGTTAAAGAGCTTTATTATAAGAAATTAGCTCACCCAATTATGGAGGCCAAGAAGTCCCAAGATAAGCAGGTAACAGGTTGGAGATTCAGGAAAGTTTATGGTTCCAGTCTGTGTCTGAGCCTGAAATGCTGAAGATTGGTGTCCCAGCTCAAAGACAATCAGGCAGAGAGAATCTTCCTCTACTAATAGAAGGGCCTTTTGGTTCTGTTCAGATCTTCAAATGATTGGATATGGCCACTTCACATTGAGAGGACAATTTGCTATATTCAGTCTATCAGTTTAAGTGTTAATCTCATCCAAAAATATCCTTCTAGACACACTCAGAATGTCATTTAACCAAATAGCTGAGTACCCCATGGCCCACTCAGGTTCACACATAAAATAAACTATCACATCAAAGATTTGCAGTTTGCATCTTTAACTTATCACAGTCTATATTTAAATAATATTCTATCACCTTATGTACAGTGACACAATAGTGTACCTTCATTGTCCCCTCGTTTTTGGATATTGCCTGAGTATAACTTATTTATAGCTATGAACTCTTTAATACATTGTTATATTTTGCTTAAAGAGTAAAGTTATCTTTTATTTAAAATGAAAAAATATTATCTATTTATTACTGGTGATTGAGCACAGGACTATTCTCTGAGCTACATCCCCAGCCCTTTTTATCTTATTTTGAGACAGGATGTTGCTAAGTTGCCCAGGACTCAGCCTCTTAAGTAGCTGGAATTATAGGCACATGCCATGATGCCCAGTTTTTCTATGCATTTTTATCTTATCTGATGCCCCTTGTCCCTTTTATAGACCCAAATATTCATCTTTGTCATATTTCTTCTTCCTCGTGTTTATTATTTCTTCCTTTATACCTTCCTTCCCTCCTCCTTTTTTCCTTCCTTTATTTTTTGAGATGGGGTCTCAGCGTGTTTCCCAAGCTCGTTTGAATTCCTGGGCTCAAGTGATCTTCCCTCAACCTCCCCTGTAGCTGGAACTATATGCATGTGCAACCATACCCAACTTCTGATCTATTTTTTAAAAAATATTTTATATTGTGTAGGTCTGCTGATGACAGTTTCTTTCAGCTTTTATTTGTCTAAAAAAAAAAAACCAGACATTTCACCTTTAATTTAAAGTTTATATTTTCAAAATTGCTCCTGGAATTTCCATAAACTCTGTTCCCAGTTTCCCTATATGGTAGCATCCTACATAGCTACAAATTACTATCAAAACTAGGAGATGAACATTGATACAATACTATTAACTCATCTAGAGACCTTATTCAATTTTTGTCCTTTATCCTTTTTCTGGTCCAGTATCTAATCCTGTATGACTTATGGCCTTGAATTGTCTTTTCTCCCTGGTCTCCTTCACTCTGGGACAGTTCCACAGTCTTTCTTTCTTGACATTTGTACTGGTTGTTTGTGGTTGCCCTGCAGAGCAGGGATCAGCTCCTTATCCACAATTTGGTTTGGATGTGGAGACTGATGATGTATACCATGAAGACGTGAAAAAGTTAATCACTTACAAGATGAGACTTTCTGGGCAGAGCAGAACAGGCCTTCAAATGCCTGTTGAGAGAAAGGAAGGGGCAAATGGCCCTGGATTTTATTAGGGCTAAAGGATGAGGCTTAAATGAGGTTCCCATGCACAGGCCAGTGTTTTTATGATTTGGACTTCCTGCCAGAGCCAAGGGAAGAAGCATCTAGGCTTTTTTTTTTTATCTACCAAATGTAGGGCTAAAGGGAAAGGGGGAATTGTGAGGCTTCAAATCTGTCAGTGGGCAAACATCAATCATGGAATCAGACTCTGTTGCAATTCACCCTGACAGTAGATGTGAAATGGAAATGTGTCATATTTCATTTGATAAAACTTAACCTTGGGGAAGTAAACTGATATTATGCTCTATGAGGCCTGCAGGGCCAGGGCTAGTAAGGGAGCTGAGCATTTTGTTGGATGCTTTGTTCAAGAACCCAGTCTGATGCATTTTTTTTAATATTTAGTTTTTAGATGTAGTTGGACACAATACCTTTATTTAGTTTATTTATTTTTATATGGTGCTTAGAATTGAAACCAGTACTTCGCACATGCTAGGCAAGCGCTCTACTGCTGAACTATGACCCCAGCCCCCAGTCTGATGCATTTTTAGAAGTGAAATGAATGTCTTGGTCACTCTCAGTAATGTCCAAAACTCTGAAGAGGACAAAGCATGTCTTGGTGAGACCTTGTATTGTGGCTCTAGTATGTCTGACCCTGATTTATATTTTTGCATATCTTGAAACAAGACATTCCCAGAGTTCTTTACCTCAAAGAGGGTAACCTTGGAAAAGGCATCATTGCCATTGATTTGACCAGATGGCCAGATGATTAGCAATTACCTAACCATCTGAAAAATGTTACGTGGGGTCATTTGTTGTCCAGGACACAAATTTTAGAGCTAATATGAATGCCTTAAAAGTTGGGCACAGTGGCACATGCCTATAATCTCACCTACTCCGGAGGCTGATATAGGAGGATCACAAGTTTGAGGCCAGCCTTGGAAACTTAGTAAGAACCTGTCTCAAAAAAATAAAATAAGAAGGACTGGGCTGTAGCTCAGCAGCAAAGAACCATTGGGTTCAATTCCCAGTATTAAAAACAAATACTTTTTAAAAAATTGTGTGGGAGTTAGGGATATTGCTCAGTGGTAGAGCACTTGCCTAGCATGTGCAAGGCCTCAGCTTTAATCCCCAGTACCACACACACACACACACACACACAACAACAACAACAACAAAATACCAATGATAAAATTTAAAAATATGTATGGATATTTGGGTCCTGTCTTTCATCAGCGAAGTCTGTTAAGGGATGAAAGGTGCAAGTAGAAAGCAAGCACTGTGGCTTGGGGTGTGGCTCAGTGGTAGAATGCTTGCCTACCATAAGCAAGGCACTGGGTTGGATCCCTAGCATCACATACATATGCATGTGTACACACACACACACACACACACACAAGCAGAGGCACTGCCACCCTTATAGTATATGAACTCCCTTTACTGTTCACCCAGTTAATCCCAAGAGGATCCCTAAGTAGCCAAGAAGTCAGGAAGAACATTGTGGCATCTGGTCAGGAGATGAGGACAGTGGAATCTGCCTGTGCTGCAGGTAGGATATGCTACAGGACTCTATTGTAGCATATCTATACTGTGGATACCAATTTCATATTAGCAAGAAGGCCTCAATAGCCATGCCAAGATTGTATGATGCTGCTCCCATGGCCCAAGACATAATGGACAGCTGGGTAGCATGGTCTCAAGTGCTATGAGAGCCTCCTTTATGGAAGAATCCTGTATGAAGCTAGTAGTTCTCAGTCTAATGGTATATAGCATGGAGCTGGAGGAGAGCAATTTCTTGCATCAGAAGTCTGTAGATAAATTATAGGCATCATGGATGATTTAGAGACTAAGGAAACATGAGAGGAGGTTGTTAAAGCCTCTATGGTGAAGAAGTCTTTTGTGGGGGCATTAATAAAGGATCTCTTGTATTGCAATTTTTTTTTTTGGTACTAGTGATTAAACTACCAGGGATGATTTGCCACTGAGCTACATCCCCAGCTCTTCTTATTTTTTTTTAAATATTTATTGTTTAGTTGTAGAAAGACACAATATATTTATTTTATTTATTTATTTTTATGTGATGTTGAGGATAGAACCCAGGGCTTCGCACATGCAAGGCGAGTGCTCTACCGCTGAGCCATAACCCCAGCCCTTATTTTTTTTTATTTATATATGTTTTTAATTGTAGGAGGACACAATATTTTTATTTCATTTTTATGTGGTACTGAAGATCGAACCCAGTGCTCCATGCATGCTAGGTGAGTGCTCTACCACTGAGCCACAACCCCAGCCCCCCCATTTCTTTTTTTTTTTTTTAGAATTTTTTAATGTTTATTTTTCAGTTTTCAATGAACACAACATCTTTATTTTATTTTTATGTAGTGCTGAGGATCGAACCCAGCGCCCTGTGCATGCCAGGCAAGCGCTTTACCGCTTGAGCCACATCCCCAGCCCCCCCCTTTCTTATTTTTTATTTTGATACAGGGTTTGCTAAGTTGCTCAAGTTGGCCTTGAATTAAGGATCCTCCTAACTCAGCATCCTGAGTCACTGGGATTACAGACATGTGCCACCATGCCCAGTCTTCGACTTGTTTTATCATTAACTATATTGAGGGTCAATAGATGTTTCTTTTTTCTTTTTTTTTTTTAAGAGAGAGAGAATTTTAATATTTATTTTTTAGTTTTCGGCGGACACAGCATCTTTGTTTGTATGTGGTGCTGAGGATCGAACCCGGGCCGCTCGCATGCCAGGTGAGCACGCTACCGCTTGAGCCACATCCCCAGCCCCCAGTAGGTGTTTCTTGACAGCATCAGGGATGTACAATCATCAACTTAACAAATAATGTTCAGAAATTTTATGAGGTGATTTGTATTTATATTTTCTATTTTGTGTGAAGCAATGACTCATCCTTTTTTCTGAACTTCTTTTTTAATGTTTATGTCTTAGAGTGTCCAATGAGAAGAATGTCATTGACCTAATGTATGTCACATCTAATGAACATCATCAATTTAATGTCATACCTGTGTTCCTGAAGAAAGTTGGATGTAATAAAGATCTTGCTGGTGAAGATTGTATGCAGTGGCAAGTCTCTCCAGGTGCCATGTGGGTAGCTGGGTAAAGATATATTGTGTTGCTTCAAAGGTGAGGGTATGCCTGTAATCCCAGCTGCTTGGGAGGCTGGGGCAGGAGGATCACAGGTTCAAAGCTAGCTTAGGAAAACCCTATCTCTAAATAAATTATATATATATATATATATATATATATATATATATATATATATATATGTATATAAAGGAAGGCTGGGGATGTGGCTCAGTGGTAAGTGCCCCTGGGTTCAATCCCCAGTACCAAAATAATAAAAACAATAAAAAATGGTTGGAGGGGCCGGGGTTGGGGCTTAGCGGTAGAGCGCTCGCCTAGCACATGCGAGGCCCTGGGTTCAATCCTCAGCACCACATAAAATTAAATAAATAAAATCAAGGTTAAAAAATGGTTGGAGAGATGGCTCAGTAATTAAGTGCCCCTGGATTCAATTCCAGGTGCCAGGAAGGAAAAAAAAAAAAACAAAACTAGAGGGCAAACTGGCTGAAATAGGCATTTGACAGAACATACTAACCAAATATGATTGTGAAGTATTTGCCAGTTGCTGATTAAATAGAAGCAGTAATTTTAGTAATATAGGATAAGGAGGCTTGTCTGTTCTTTTTATTTTTATTTTATTTTACTCATAACACTTTTATTTGGGGTGGTGCTGGGGATTGAACCTAGGGTTTCACACTTAAGTGCTCCACCATTGAGCTACATCCCCAACCTTTTTTTTTTTAATTTTTTATTTATTTTTTTTTAAAGAGAGAGGAGAGAGAGAGAGAGAGAGAATTTTTAATATTTATTTTTTAGTTTTTGGCAGACACAACATCTTTGTATGTGGTGCTGAGGATCGAACCTGGGCCGCACGCATGCCAGGCCAGGGCACTACCGCTTGAGCCACATCCCCAGACCCCAAACCCTTTTTTAATTTTTATTTTGAGCAAGGTCTCACTAAGTTGCCAAGGACTGGCCTTGAATTCGTAATCTTCCTGCTTCAGCCTCTTAAATTGATGGGATTACAGGCATATGCCACAATGCCTGATTTGCTCACAACATCTCTGATGGCAAAAGTGTGAGTTTTTCTTATACCAACTCAATTTAATTCTGATACTATCTCCCTTGGGTATCCATCAAATCCTACAAGATTGCCTCTACTTCAGATACCAAGTCCCAGGGCTCCTGTACTTTTCATTAGGAATTCCCATGGTCAACTCAAATTTGACGTTTTATTAGAACTGCTCACAGAACTCAGGAAAATGCTTTATTTTGTTTACCAGTTTGTTATAAACATACAACTCAGAAACAGTCAAATAAAAAACATGCTTAGGGCAAGGTATTAGGCCTAAATAGCTATCAACCAAGTAGCACTCTGAACCCCAAAGGTTGGGGGTTTCACAGAAGTTTCATTACATAGACATAACTAATTAAATCATTGGCCATTGGTAACCAATCACAATCACAAATCACCAGTCACAGCCCCTTTGCTCACCCTAGAGATAGGGAATAAGGAGCATTCCAAAGCTATATAGCCTTTGTCTTTCAGGTAACCAGACCCATCCTGAAGCTACTTAGGGGCCCCAGCCACCAGGCATCTCATTAGCATGCAAAAGATACTCCTCACTGGAGAGTTCCAGGTTTTAGGTTGCCAGGAATGGGAGACAAAAAACAATATATATATTTAAAAACAGTACAAAAGTCTTAGTGCATGGAACTACAGCACTTTGATTGTGGTAATCCACCATCAGGCATCATTCACTAATTTTATGTTTAAGACTAAGACAAATCGGAGTGGAAAAAAATGGGATAATCAACCCTTCTTTTTATCTTTTATTTATTTATTTTTTAATTTGTTCTAATTGGGCTAGGGATATAGCTCAGTTAGTAGAGTGTTTGCCTTGCATGCTCTGGGTTCAATCCCCAGCACCAAAAAATGAAGAAAAAAAGAAAAAGAAATTTTGTTCTAATTTGTTATACAAAACAGTAGAATGCATTTTGACACATTGTACACAAATGGAGCACAACTTCTCATTCATCTGGCTGTACATGGTGCAGAGTCATACCGGTAGTGTTGTCATACATGTATGTAGGGTAATGTAGGGTCTGTCTCATTCCACCATTCTTCCCACCCCCACACCCCCTCCCCTCCCCTCACTCCCCTCTGCCCAATCCAGAGTTCCTTCATTCTTTCCTGCCACCCCTGCCATTATGGAGCAGCATCCACTTATCAGAGAAAACATTTGTCTTTTGGTTTTTTGGGTTTGGCTTATTTCACTTAGCATGATATTTTCCAACTCCATCCATTTACCTGCAAATGCCATAATTTCATTCTTCTTTAAGACTGAGTAATAGTTCATTGTAATCACCCCTTCTTTAAATAAATCTTATATATAATGGGTTTTCAAAATGCTTTTTTTTTTGTACTTTTGTTCCACCCAGGATTGAATCCATGGGTGCTTAACCACGTAGTTACATCCCCAGTCTCCTCTTTTTAAAATTATACTTTATGTTTAAAATTTTTTTAATACTTATTTTTTAGTTGTAGTTGGACACAGTACCTTTATTTTATTTATTTATTTATTTATATGTGGAGCTGAGGATTGAATCCAGGCCTCACGTGTGCTAGGCGAGCCCTCTACCACAAGCCACAACCCCAGCCCCCCAAAAATTATATTTTATTTTTGAGACAGGGTCTGGTTAAGTTGCTGAGGCTGGCTCTGAACTTGAATCCTCCTGCCTCAGCCTCCTGAGACACTGGGATTACAGGTGTGCACCACCATGCCTGGCCTAAAAATGTTTTGTTTTGCTTTTATTCTTTGTAGTCCTGGGGATGAAAGCCAGGGTCTTGCACATGCAGGTGAGTGCCCTACCACTGAGTTATACCCCTGGCCCTATACAATGGGTTTTCAGTTGCTAAAGCCCTTATATTAATCTATATTGGTCTGTGTAAACAATTTTAATAGATGTGGCAAATCTGTATGTTCCCATTTTGCTAAGCCAGTTGAAGATTTAACCTTGTTTTCATTTAGTTCTCTCTAGATCAGGGTATATGCCCATTATGAGATATTTTAGGGCAATGAACATTATGACCAGAGGAGTTTTGCACACCTATTTGCCCTCTATTTTGTGTTTGGCAACATGTCTAAGAGTATGGGGAATACTTTGTTTAAATTTAGTATAACTGTGATTTGAACCCCTGCATCCATTAAGACCATGAAGGCTTGCTAATTGGTGCATTGAAGCAGAAGTTAAAGTTAATTTAGAATTTATGCTTTTAGAAGGTCAAAAAACAATCAGGACTGTCTCTCCTGCTGGAGAATGATAGCCCTCATTCTCCCTTGAATATATATTTTTTTCTTTACCCCAAAGGCATCTCTCACTTTTGAGATTGTCCCCATTCTCCCTTTAATATGCATCTACTTTCCTAAATAAACCTGTATATGTCTTGTATATGCCAAATCAGCCTGTGTGTGTGTGGGGGGGTGGTACTGGGGATTGAACCCAGGGCCTCATGCATGCAGGTAAGCACTCTACCACTGAACTACATCCTCAATCCCTTAAATACTTTTATCTTACAGGTTTAAAAGTAAATTTTAGACTTCCAATTGGGTTAAATCATGAACTTCTGTTTCAGTTTTTGCTCTTTCTCCCTGATTCAAGGGCATGTGGGTTGTGTGTGTGTGTAACTGGCTATGCCTTCGGGAAAGGATCCTCTTTTCTCTGCTTATATTTTTAAGTTGATTCCTCTAGAATTCCAAATCAGTACTCTTAGGATCAGGGGCATCCTTCATGGCAACTGCTGTTTCGCTTGATTTAGGGACCCTGGGCTTAAGCTGGGTTTGAATGAATCCCTTGGTATGTTGATAAGCTATAGCATTTAATCAAACCCACATTCTTCCTGGGTCTGGTTTATAGTTATCTGGTTGGGTGATGGCATCTTCTAAGAGGAATGAGGTAAAACATTCTGGGCTACTTTTTATAATGGTTTATTCCATGAGTACTTGGACATATTTCTGTTTAATCCTGGTGACTGCTCTTCCTCACAGGAGCAAGAACATGATGGGCCTGTACATTTCACAGGGCATCTGTCTTTCCCTTGAAGGCTCTATATAGAACATAGGCATTAGCTGGTGCCTGGTTGAGACATACCACCAATGATCACAAAGTGATGACTTACTGTCATTTCTTTGAGTCTCAGCCATGGTTCCTGCTGGAATGAAGAAGACATATGAGGGCTGGGGATGTGGCTCAAGCGGTAGCACGCTCGCCTGGCGTGCGTGTGGCGCGGGTTCGATCCTCAGCACCACATACAAAGATGTTGTGTCCGCCGAAAACTAAAAAAATAAATAAATAAATAAATATTAAAAAAAAAAAAAAAAGAAGACATATGATATAATCTAGCTGCACAATAGGTCCATGTGGGTACACAGATCAGGGTAACTTTAGGACAGCCTCAACCTCGTACTCCTATGGGTAAATCTATAACAGGTATATTAGGGCTTAACAAATGTAAAACAATACTGCACAGCTCAAATTATTAGTCTTCTAATAGGCAGCAGAATCAGTTAGCAAGCCAGGCTGAGAAAGCCCCTTGGAGTTGGGGATCACCATCTAAGCCACTTGGTTCGCTATGTTAGTTGTCTTGTGATTGTCACTCAGGAGACAAGATCAAACCTCTACCCAAAATCTGGTTTAGATGTCAGGATTGATGAACACACACACACACACACACACAAACACACCTTTTGGAAAGGTTTATTAATCATATAATGGGGCTTTATGTGCAGAGGAGGGCAATTTCTCACACACGCCTCATAATGGCTTTCAAGGAGGAGTGAATGATCCTGGGGTTTTATTGTTAGGGAGTAGGACCAGAGTGAGGATCCTGATGCAAGGGTCAGGGTTTTCATGGTTTGAATTTCCCTGATGGTGCCAAGGGTGGGGAGTGCCCTATCTTTTTTTTTTTTGGACATAAGAGAAAGCAATAG